GAACAGGGAACTCTGCTCAGTATTCTATAATAACCTAAATGGGAAAAGAATTTGAAAAAGAACTGAGACATGTATATGTATAACTGAATCACTTTTCTGTGCACCTGAAACACAAAATTTTAAATCAACTATATTCCAATATAAAATAAAAATTTTTTAAAAAACAGCTTAAATGAAAACCCAATTTTTATATTCTTGGAAAGTTTTTCCCCTTTAAATATCTGCTGTAGTTTTTAATTTTCTGAGCCGGGTCTTCTAAAGCCTGGATTCTCTTATAAATCTTTCTGGCAAGTTAGTGTTTTCTCTTTTTTAAATACTTTTATATCTGAGACTTTCTTTGACACAAATAAATATGGATTTTACTAATTTGAGCTCATTTTTCAAGCACAGAGATCTTCCTGACCCAGCTTTATAAATTTATTATTTGGTATACTTAACCCTAATGTCTTCATGCAGGTTAAGGATTTTTCAATAATATGATGAAAATAAGTTATGTGAATTCATATTCTTCTTGGTATGAGTTAGGGTATGTAGAAATACTTTGTTAAATTTATCTTCCTATGGCAAATATATAACAACTATACTGCTAATCCAGATCAACTATTCTCCTAGCTGCCATCCAATTATAAAATCAAACATTTTACATGTAGTTCTTGGGTTAGCCATATATCCAACTTAACCATGTCATTGGGTCCACAGTTCTCTGTCCTACCCACAGAGAGAGCTTATCCATACGGAGATCATCCATAGGGAGAAGCTCCATCAGATATCTTGTTAATATTAAAAGATGCCTCTCTTGAAGAATACTTGCCCATTATCACGGGTCAACATTCTATAGGGCTCAAATCTCAAGCACTGAATCTGTGCATGTGCTTGTATGTAACCATACGGGGGTACCTCATGCAACAAAGGTAAAAAGTGGGCTCTATGCAACCTTTAGAAAACAAAATATATGTAAAATTTTCAAGCTAACTCACTACTATGAAAGCATGCCTACTCTAGCACTAGCCTGTGGCATCCAGGGCAACTCCCTACTCATACCCTCACATTCTAGTCACACTCAGGCTCCCTCCCACGTCAGGCCTTCACCATCCTGCTTCCTCCTGCAGAAATGCTGTCCTCCCATGCCCTTGCCCAGGTTTTACACAGCTCTGAAGCCTTCCCTGATTTGATCAGAGCCCCCCCAAAAAACCTCAGACTTCCCTGCTGCAGCACTAGTAACAATTGGAAAGAATAATTCATTTTCTTTGACAGACTACCTCTTCCCCTAAAGTCTAGACCAGTAGTTCTCAAATTGCTGAGATCTTGGACCCGCAGAATCAGAATTACCTGGGAACTTCTTAAAAATGTACATGCTCAGGCCCTGCCCCAGATCTACTGAAACAGAAAATCTGAGACAGGAGCCTCCACGTGAGTCTGATGCTCACTGAAACTGGACAACCACTGCTCTACCGTCTATGGAGACGTGCATCTTCTTCTTCCCCCTATCCTTACGTGGCCCCGCTCTCATCACCCAGCAACTCTGTATATAACCAATGCTCCGTAAAGATTCACTGAATAAATGCGTGAATCAGTACGCATTTCACATTTTTCATGATGTAAATGAGAGTCCCGTAATCAGGATTAGAATGGTTCCAGCTACCAATTTAAATTTTCCTTAAAAATGTCTCCTAGGGCTTCCCTGGTGGCGCAGTGATTGAGAGTCCGCCTGC